AGCGCTGCACCGGGTTGTTGTTTCCCAAGTCTCGAGTCTTCAACTTGAGGCTTTGGGAGTATCATGTAATGGATGGAAAACACACAAAGCTGAAGTTTTTTATTGGGAGCTGTTAACTCACTATCTTAAATTGAGCCATGAATATTGCACCCAGGAGCCTCTACGCAGCCCCAGAGCTGGGTCCATCTGGCACCACCACAGCTTCTTGCCGGGGTTGATCCCCCAACCTCATCCACTGGAGGCTTTGGGAACAGGCCATGGGTTAGCACTTCTAGGCTGCAAAACAAATGAATTTAAAGCTTCATGGCTTGGCAGAAAGGACACAGCTGGGAACGGCAGCGTATGTGCTTGCAATTCTGCTCACATCCTCCCATGAGCTGATCACCTAAATTTGTCCTTCTGGAATAATTTCCTGCAGAAAGTCATTACGTGGGCCACAGTTTGAGGCAGCTTCCCTTAGAAACAAAAGAGAAAATTATATAAACATTGCATTTTTAGTAATCTCTTTCTTTTTCTTACCTCTTCTTATTTGCCCTGGACAGATGTTAACATACTGGTTCTTCATTCTGCTATAACAGCCTCAGACCTTTTTCTCCTGGGCTTCTGTAATGTTTTCTACAGTTCTCCAAAAAACTTAATTTATCCTTTCAAAGCATCTGAACCAGCTTCATGTTCCATTTGAGTCTGGGTCTCTAGAGATGAAAGAACATCACCCTACAGTGTTGTACCTCTTTTTGTTTCTACTTTCTAGGTGAGTTTAACAGGAAGAAAAGTTTCAGACTTCGTTACTTGTTGAAGTCTATAGAAAGCAGGCTGTATTTTTAGAGCAATGGCATTATTTTGGGCAGAGGGAGATTATATTGAGCAGATTTAGCCTGCGTTTGTCCCAGAACAGCCAGGAAAGGATCTTCACAGCATGGCAATATGGGCTGGGTGCTCTCTGAGAGTCAGTTTATAATGATTTCTCATATCTCTTCTATACTTACTACAAAACTTGGATCAAAAGGCAGTGCTTCAGGGGAATGCAAAGCTGATGGCCTTTGCCAGAGTAATTAATTTGTATTAATTTGAGTGCTTCACTCCAATAACATTTCTCTAACTGTAAAATAAATTAAAAAAAACCCTACAAAAACAGGTCAAATATTACAACAACAATGGGTAGTCAGTACACAATTAGCAATTTTCACAGTTTGTATGAAATACATTTTCTTGCTTGCATGGTTAATAAACAAATCACAAGAATGTAAAATGCAGAGTTTCTCCCATGTTTAGCTATATTGAAATTTTCTTGTTGAGCGAACAATTGTAATATTAAAATGACATTTTGTGTCATTAAAATGACATCCTTCTGTTGCCTTCTTCCAGACAAGCTCACCAGCCTGGCTTTGCAACCAGTGATAACTCCCGAGTTGGTGCAAGGTCGTGTCTACCTGAAGTGCGCTTACAGCCGCCCCTCCTCAAAGCCACCACTGCAGTACGTGGTGGTCTGGTCACGTCTGTCCACCCCTGGCAAGAAAGAGCAGATCCAGCGTGACACCACCCTGCAGCCTTTTTCCTACGTAGAGATGAACGGTGTAAATCTCAGACTGGGAGACATGGTAATGCCACCCTGCCTTCACCAAAAAGGGTCAAACACTCAGGGGGATCAAATCCTTTTATTAAATCTTTGTAGTGCTTTAATTAGTGCTGCTTCTCACTCATTATTCTTACATCTATTGCAGAAAAAAACTACCAAAACTGATTATTAAATAGCATTTACCAGCTTCAAGATCTGTAACTTTTCTTTGAATCACAGTGAGTTCACTGAGGTTATCCATTTTACTGTTAGCTAAAGACAACCTAAATATTTGCAGTTACATTACAGTTTGAATGCCATGAAGTTGGTATGAGTAGTAGGTACATGTGCCTGAGCCAATTTTTGCTTAGTACTTTTTGTATCTTGCAGCAGTGAGAATTTGCAGTAGAGACAAGCTCAGCTACACGTACTGAGTAATTTTTATACTCATGGACCAGAGACACAATAACATTTTTTCAAAGAAAAGAAAGATGGTACATTTTAAAATAGAGGGAGGTTTATTTTATGGTCTTTTTCATGGTGTTCTGCCTCTCCGATTCCAAATTCTTGGTTCAATAGCATACTGAAAGATAGAGTTCATTACAAACCAATCTTTAAGAGGTATATTTGATGGCTTACATAGCAACACAGATCTAGTTTCAACAACAACAACAGAACAGAAACCAATACAAGAAGTGAAAAAAATTGACTTGTGTATGAATTCATGGCCTTTCATGGTACAGAAACAAGACTTTTACAGTTAAATTAGGTTCATAACTTTTATAGGCAGAGGGCCATTAGCAATGCTACAATGAACTGAAAGAATAAACAGGGATAATGGCCCTGTGTTAAAAGTAGTTTGGAAATAGTCCTGGCATTTTGCTGCTCTCCTTTTGAGATATTTAAGATATTTAAGAAATGTGAGTAAGCTTTTTCCAGTTCTTGAAAGGAGGAGTCATTTATAACAGCACACAACCTAGATAGGTTTTCCCAATTTCTCCTCGCAATTATGCCTCCTGAGTTCAGAATCGGACTGATGCTGCCCTCCCTTATATTATAGCATGAGGCAGACAATTCTGCCAGTTTAAGACAAGTTTGTGTTACAAAGAGATTCTTTTTCTTCAAAATAATTTCACTTGCAATCACTCCAAATCCAGTTTTAACAATCCTGAGGGATTCAGAGGAAATATAGTTCTGTTAACTAGTAGCATCACCAAATCTTTATAAGACCATTTTTATTATATTAAGTTTTCAGTAAGCCCTTCTTTGTCCTCTGTTGAAACTACGTGTTTAATTTAGCAGGTTTAGTGAGACTAAAATATTCTCTTCCTTGCTAGATTTTTTTAAAGGTCTTCATGGCCTATTTGCCTAATTATAATTATCCATAAATCATCACTGCTGAAAACCAAGCAATGAAGCCTCAGCTGTAACTGGGAATTCAGTTTTACATAATAAAGATTTTTAAAAGCCTTTCACTGTGTTTGCCATCCCACTCCGGGTGTCTAGTAAGAGTCACAAAGGGGCAGACCCACTTTGCACCTCCATTGGTGCTAACCTGAAGTAACTTAGAAAGTGGTGGTAGGACAACCCAAAGGAAAGGTGATGCCACCGAAGGGAGAGTCAAACCCTGGGGACCAAACTTAGCTGCACAGAAGCAGTTCATAAGCTTCCACTTGCCCAGGAAAGATACAGGTGGAATGAATTTTTCTCAGGCAGCTTTAAAGTGAGGGCAGACCCCCACTGATAAAAGCCATATTAGAGAGGAGACAACAAATTGAGGCCACTTGCCAGTTCTTTCCCCTTCTCCATGCACAGTCCAGTGGTAGCATCCCCATGGCTGCACACTGCCAGGGCACGTGGGTGACATTCAGGTCTGAATTTGTCCCTCAGGATACAGAATTTGCAGCGTTTTGAAAACTGTTTGCTTTTTTAACCTACTCTTCATCTACCTGCACATAGCCTGGATATGGTCTCAGTGCTTTTATAGCCTGAAATCAGCATCTTCTCTGTTCATTTCTTGATAAAAAAAATACAGCCAAGCAAGAAGAATTTTTTTTTAATCACCTTTTAAGTGATTGATATCTGTGCTATTCTTTAGCCATCAAAAAGTCTCCAGGTAATGGGTTAGTCACATAATAGAATAGCTATTGATATATTTTAATACACAGTCAAACCTTAGAGAAGAGTTGAGATTTACCGGCTAACATTTCTGAACTTGTATTGACTAAAGAGCCAGTTATTTTTTAATAGCCATCATATGTGCTTTTCTCCCCCATCTCTAGGCTCCAATTTTGTTATTTCAGACAGTAATGTTGGCAGCATAATGTTCACAAAACTATTGCAGCCTTAAATAAATCTATAACATACTGCTATTTCTATATAAATGCTGAAAGAAGCCTACTCCATCTGATATGAAAATCCTGGCATTCCTAAGCCTTATTTATGCGATAGTGACAGAGGTCATCTCATTCCTCGAGGCACAGTCATCTATAAATTATAGTGGCACACTGTGAGTAATGAGTTATGCTAAGAAAGAAAGGTGTTTAGAAGAAAACTGTGCAGATTTTGCTCAGCACAGCAATCCCAAAGTTCATACGTCGAGGAGCAATAGTCACCGTACATAAACTATGATGAACATTGCAAAATAAAAAAAGTTTCAGTAAAACTGGCCTTTCTGAGCTCTGTGCTGGAAGAGCCCGTTTCACATGGCACTCCATAACAGTAGAATGTCCCCAGCCAAGAAGTCTATAAATTAGTGCATCAGTATAGAAAATAATTAATTTTCACTCACAAAGAGGAGTGAAATTCATATAAAATAAATAAACAAAGTACTAATCCCATCCCAGCCACTGGACTTAACAAAGTCAGCGACAGAAACAGAAAGACCTCCCTACTTGTAGGTCACACCTGAGTTTGCAATTTCTTTCTCAACCTTCAGGTGGAAAATGAGGAGCATCCCCACAGAATCAGAGCTCTGGGCAGACTTGAGCAGAGATTTTAAAGCTGAAAGGGTCAGAAAAATGATGAGCAAAACTCTGCTGACAAGACACCTCACTACTACCCTGGGAAAATGTCTTTCCTTAGTAGATGAATGACGGACAATCAGCCTCCACGTAGTGCTTGGCCATTTGGCAACTGGAAGAGCTGCTTTCTTTATATATACAGCAAGTGGCAGAGTGACTAGAGCCCGACTTCCCGCAGCGTCAGGTCACGCTGCTGCATTGGCTGTCTCCCTTCTGCAGCTCACAGGGTCCTAATTGTGTTCAGAAGCTTAAAGGACTAGTTTGTTAATTAACTCAAAGTCAGATTCTTCCTGCTCAACCTTTTGGAAAGCTTTTCCAGAGACTTTGTTCCTACACTTCTCTGCAAATACCTACAGCCAGATCATTTCTTCAAACTAATGAGAACTATTTTTTTTTTTCCTTTGGCTTCCCTAGAAATGCCATCCATCATCTCTGCTCATCCTTTGTTTTTTTCATCAAGACTAAACCACAACTCCCTCCCACACTCCCCAGCCCCCAGCAGAGCGACTCCGCCAGGCTTTTCTAATCCCAGCCCATTAGTGTTTAATAGAGCAGACAACGGCAGCTTGGTGGCCTTGACACCCATTGTGAGACACCTTTTCACCTGGCAGCATTGATTCCTTGCCCAAGACTCCACCTGCAAGCCATGAGTGTGGCTGAGTGACTCTTACCTATGCAGCTCCAGCCTGCCTTTTGGCACGGGTGATGTAGCTAGGAGGGTAGATCCAGTCCTGGAGTTAATTGAGTTAATCACCCACAGCTTAGGCACCAGCAGGCTCACTTCCCTGCCCAGTGAATGGGAAACTGTAAGTATCCCTAAATGGTGCCTTGCATTCAGAAGGGAGCTTCCTACACTTGGCCAACATAAATTATTGATCAGGCAGCACTCCTGAATTCCCACACTTCTTTGGAGATTGGATGTCCAGGTCAATAACGTGCCTTCATCTACTTTTTAATGCAGATCTTCAAGTCCTACTCAGATGCACCTGGCTGTGTGTAGTCCTTGAAAGGTCACTACCAGGAAAAGTAACTATTTCAACTTTAAACCATTGCTATTGTCACTGTGGGGCATCTGGCACTACAATACAGGTCAAGTGCTTGCTGGAGAGATGGGAAACAGGTCCTCCCTGCTGTGAGGTACATGCATGTCCTGCCCTTCCCAAGGGAGCCTCCCACCCCCTGGGTCTTAGGCTGCATAAGAAAGGGAAGCAGAGGCTGCAGCCAGGGACCTGCATTTGCTTATTTTCTCTGGTGACTGCTTAGGTCAAACACACAAGGGGTCCTGATGGGCAGATCCAAACCCAGTACTCCCATCTACCAGCTCTCCCTATTTTGAGGACAAATGCCCGTGCCTCTGAGATACTTGCATCTGTTGAGATGGGTGGTGGCATCATTTCTGCCAGTGTCTTGAGAAGGATGTGGCTGAACTTGGCCTTTTTGAGAGCTCCTGAAATTGTTTGGCAAACTTAGGAGCCTTCACAAGTACCCGACTGATGCGTGATGATGGCTTTTGATCTCAGAACAAGAATCTCCTGTTTTGCCTTTGGGAATCCAACCCAATCTGAGGACAGCTGGGAGAGGCTGATGAAACTGGAGGCACAGGCATGCTGGATGTGCCAAAAAGCACTCCCCTCCACGTCTCTGCACACTGGTTTTGAAGATGGCAACAAACGTGAATGTGACTTTATCTGAGCTTTTCTGACTCTGCTTTCAACCCCATGTCACTCATTACACGCTCAAGCTGCCACAGATGATCCCCGTACTGCATTCAGAAGTAATCAAGGGCAGGGAAATGGGTGAAACTGGTGGTTTTAGGGTGGTTTTATGTTCAAAATGAGTATAAACAATGGATTTGGGGGAGCTCTGAATTCCGAGAGCTCTGAAAAAACCCTACATTTTGATGTGCAAGTTGTTAGAGGGAAATGTGCCGGAGATGGTGACAGCTTCTAGGATTAAAACACTCTCCCAAGTTGTTTCTCAGAGCTACCCAATCTCCACCAAAATAATGACTAAATTCTGCTTTTAGCTAAATGTGCTGCTCACAAGGTTCACAGAAAAGTGGGAAGGAATCTGAGTCCACTTAAGTGTGGAAATCTGCTCCAACACACAGAAAAGGAGAAACTTCTCAGCTACCAGGGCCTTTTTCAGTCAGAATTTTGTCCCTAAACGTAGTTTTCCACTCTATGGGAAGAGCTGCTGGCATATGGGGGAAAGGGAGCAGCCCTTACTCTGAAGAAATCCAGTCATCCTGTCTGAGAGCACCCTTACATTTCTGCCCCTTTAAAAGGGATTATGAGAAAATATAATTTGATTTTTTTAACAGATCCGATGAATTTGTGGAAAAATACTGCCTAACCTGTCACGGCCATCAGCATACTGCTGTCAGTGATGCTTTTATCTCTTTGCTTTAAAAAGGCTGCATCCTGAGATGGGGGGGGGGGAAGAAGAGAAAGAAAAAGTTGATTACTGAGCTGGAGAAAAAGAGTTAGTATTTAGCTGAAGGCAAAAATAAAACTCCTTAGAGTGACTATCGTAATAATTATGTGACAAACTGTCAACCTGTAGCTCAGTAGCCAATGAACGTATCTGCTGATTGTTAAGTGAAGTGTGCACCTAACAAGGTAAAGACACTATGAGGGGAGGAATGATATAAAAGACAGAAAAAATGTAACTCGTGATGGCTGTCCGTATCTTTGGAATTTGCGAAGTTTGTGCTAATCTCCAAATGTGCTGAAGACAGAGCTGGAAGGGACTGATAGTCTAAGAATATCTCAGTGTATCGTTACGGAATAATTTTTTATTTTAGTGTTCAGTGCTTTATCAATAAAATATACCTCTAAAATATATATGTGAGAAAATACAATGCTCACAGGGAGTGAGACTGGATTCTGACATTTCCCAGGATGTCACTTTGGTGAAGATCACCAAGAGATACCTCCTTCCTCGTGCACGACCCTGCTGCCTCTCATCACAGCTCCCTCCTTGGCACGAACGCTCCATGTGGCATGCTCAGAAGGATGTCTCTGTGTGAACCTTTTTGGTAAAAAGCATTAAAGCCAAAAGTGCAAACAGCCCAGCAAGTGTACATACAGTGTCTGCAATGCAGGTGCATTGGATTTGCTCAATGAACTACTATTTTTTTAATAGGGAGAATAAGTGTTATCCAAACTCTTTCTCTGTTGTCACCGCCTTTTCAGATCCTGGTTTTGCAGACTCTCCCTGTGACAGCTGTAGAAGAAGCAGCCGGAGGAAGCTCAGCGCTCACCTTCTGCCTTTCCAGCAGAGGAACTTTGTTGAAAACTTTGAAAGCTGAACTCAAGCCTTTTGGGATGCTTGGAGATAATAAATACCTGATGATAACCGGGGCTTATTGCCTTGAGGAGACAACAACTTGTTCCCCTTTGGAGGCAAACTGGCTAACTACAAAGCACCTGAGGAATTTTAACTGTAAAGTATCCCTCTGAGGCCCGTGACTTTTTATCCCCCAGTACATCCAGTTCAAGGCTTCCATTCAGTTAACATAACAAATAACACCATTTTCACTGGGCCAAACTGGCTGGAGCTGTCAGCAAAAGAATGAGAAACTTTGTGAAGGTAAATAAAGGCCCAAAAGAGACATAAACCTCAGACAGAGCAGGACTGGAAATAATCAACCTGAAGAGCACAGAAAACACTTGATTTTTCCCATAGGTGTACAAATGATGCCGAGGTACCAGTGGAGCACTTCTGTTGTGTACAAATGAGTAAGGAAAGGGAACTCTTCAGTTTGGAGGAAAATCATGACTTGATGGTAATGAAGAGGGATTTTTAAGGTGGTAAATGAAATATTCCAGAGTGCTATGCACCTCATGCCCACACAAACCACATGAATTTGGAAATATCCTGGTTGTAAGCCTATTTTACTGCCACCAGTCATGAGGGTTGTGCCTGAGCTGGCAGGTTAGAACAGAACAGTCAGTGGGTGGTACTGGAAAAAACATCCAAAAGAGTTTATCACAATGGGAAATAAATAAGGTTGGTCCAATTCCTCCTCATGGGTTACTCAGGGCTTAAAAAAGGCAGTAGCTATAAATATGCCATCTGATTATTTGGAATTGATTTAGTAAGTCACAATCTGTTACTCCATTTCTGAGAAGAGGCCAAAGAAAAAAATTCAGAAGTACGGTTTGAGCCTATCGTCGTTTGCTTTAAGGAAAATTTCTGTAGTTTAATCTTATGATCCTAGAAATTATGTTAGCAGTTTGAGTTTTCTGAAACCGATGAAACATTAAGATGGCAGATGGTGTGCGGGCTCTGCAGAGATAAAGGTTGCGTGACTGTGCTAGGAATAAAACATAAATGGCCGAGTACATTGTGTTTGGTGGAGTTTTTTGTTTTGAGGAAATTTTATTATTTTTTTTTTTTTACAATATAAACCCTGTAGGCACATCTGCATCATCTGTTATAATACAGTAAGGAAAAAAAAAGAAGCTTCTTAAATTGCTGATGCAGTTTCTGAGACAGGATGACTGTCAAACTAATTTAAAATTTAAAAGTTGCTTACAAACACAGTGCAGAGAGGATATTTGATCCAGTGGACAGACTGAACTCTGGGATCTCAAGAGCTAATGTCCTAATCCTGACAGTAATGCCTGTGAACAATGTAATTCTCCCTAACTGAGTTAATATCACTAACCAAGGTGTTGAAAAACTGCAGAAGAAAGCACACTGTAAGCATTAAGTGTTATTAATTGTTGAGACAGAAGCCATGTTTCTTTACTTATTAAATGTATCAAAAATTCTTCCAAATCTCAAGATTTATGCATAAACATTTTTAAAGCCTAAGCCCCAAAAATCTGTTTAATGGGTAGAAAAAAAACAACCTCGGCAACACAGATCAACACGAAGAAGCATAATTATATGATTTTTCTTCAAGAAAAGCTATAGCATAATCTGTTTATTTATTACAGGTCTTTTGCACTGTCACGGCTTTTATGAGGGACGTTCCTGAGCAGCAGTCATTGCCTGAAGAGAGCAAAGGTTTCTATGCTGGGATTAAGGTAATGCTGATGGCCCTGATTTACTGACTTGTTTAGTGAATCCCCTGGGGATATTTATACATTATCTGCCATGCTCTGAAAAACAAGACATGAAAACATAGGCCTTTATCATCATAACCAGTGCTGCTTTAATGTTCACTTTGAAGAAATGTCTTAATGAATTGTACGTCTTTCAGTTTGTTTGTAAAATGTCCTAAAGCACCCATCAGCACTGTCTATAGGTGTTTTCACTAATCACAGAACAGAATCACAGAACGTTAGGGATTGGAAGGGACCTCAAAAGATCATCTAGTCCAATCCCACCATAAAGAATGTGCAAAAACTATGTCTTCTAGTAAATACATGCCGAAGTACCCTGGTGGTTATGTATGATGCAAAGGCAGAGCTACAAGAATGCAGAATTTCATTGTAACCAAACCAGAACAAAGTGAAGGCAAACTGAAAATGAGTTTTTATCCATTATCTTCTTATGGGCAGGCCTTACAGAAACCAAACTACTGAAGATAAATTCACACAGAGTGCTAAAACCAGGTCTAGTCCCACTCAAGATCATACTGTCATTCTAGCAGTCCAGGAGAATTTGAGAACTTTTATATGTCTAAACGTCATGCCTCCACAAATGGTGTTTGAAAATCTGGCAACCCATTCTGTGTGACATTTGAAGAACAGTTTCATTTTTTTTTAAAATGTCACACTTGCCCAAGGAATGGAAATTCCCATTTCTGACTGGCCCTGGGTGCTCTTCCTGCTCTTGCCCCAGCAGAACAGATAGACAGAAATGGCACAATCTGAGCTCTCTTCCTGGTGCACGAGCCACTGAAGCTGTAATTTATTCTTATTACAGGGAAATCCTTCTTCCTGTCATAGCAGGAAAGAGGAATATGGCAAAAATTGCACTCTCTTCGCACCCGGGGCAGAGTACAGACATAGAATCCATAACCATCAAAAATGTCATGATTTAGGCTACGATATTTCTCCTACTGCATTGGAATAGGAGCTTCTTCTAAACTGGAATATTTAAAATGAATAAATTCTATGGTATCATGCTATTTTCAGGCTCAGTGAAAGCTGTTTTTAAATTACGACAAGAGAAGCAATTAAACACTATATGACAATTGCAAACATTTTCTTAATTACCAATATTGAAGAATTTTTAAAATATTTTTACCTTATATAATTGAAGATAATTGGTATGAAAATTATTATTATTTTACAAGCATTTCTATCTTTTACTAACTGATTAAAAACACTCAAAATTTAATAAACATCAGTATTGGCTAATTAATCTGTCAACATGATCTAACAATTACTTTCTTCTTTGCAGTTTTTACCAGAGTCGTTACAAATTGCAGAGGATGGCAAAGAGCATGTTTTGACCATTTTGAGCACTGTACCTATTGCTTGTTCTGGGCACGATGATTCCTGTAAAATTACTTTACAAATAAGTACTGAGGATTTGGGTAAGATTTTTGGCATCAAATCAAAGTGATTGCTTTTTCCTGTATTTATGTTACAATGAATTCCAATAGAAATTATAAGACTTAAATAATGACAAAGGGCAGACGTCATAAAATCAACAAACTAGGTCATGTATTTGCTTGCAAAATAAAACAGATTATAATATCTCTCAGGTTTTAGAGAAAAAAATAATATGACTACCTGAAAGGTAGTCCATTGAGATTTGTGGATGAAATAACTATGAGAAGAACAACTTATTTTACATTCCAGAAGCATAAAATTCCATTTTAAGTTCTTGTAGCAGCAATAGTCTTAGTAGAATAATTTCATTAATTATCAATAAGAAGCTCACCTGAGATTTATTATTCAGCATATGTATACTGAAGGCTTTTTGCTTTCTTTTTGTATTGTTTCTTGTATTAAGTTTTTGTCTAACTTAATTCTTATGCTTATATATTATTCTCTTTCTAAAGAAATTTTTTGCTTGAAAACATTAACAGTATCACTTAGAATTCTTGCCCTTTTAATCAGTAAATGCTCTCCTCAGGTTAATCTCACAGCTGACCAAGTGGATCATATATATATTTACTATCCATTTGCACTAAATAAAACATCCTACCCTTTTTCTAACAAGGCATTTATTTCTCTTCCATTGGTGACTCAATGAGAAAAATGTTTAGAGATAGGATTACAGCCACAGTTTCTCTACCCACAAAAAGCCAGCTCAAAAGAATGTTGGCAAAACCCAGATAGTTCTTGATATTTTTATCTTTCCAAATCCCTTTCCTTTCTCTCCTCATCATCAGCCAAGTGCTTAGACAGAAAAAAAAAATAATTCAAATGGTATCATAACAAAGTGATCTTAAACTGAACGGCACCTTATGGTTCCAGCAGCTGTGTTGGCTCTCGTACGTGGAGTACTTTGCATTTTGCCATGGCTCAGTGCTGCTCTGTTCTACACATTGCTCTTGGCTTAGAGTCTCTGCCAGTCCATCAGGCAAACATCCTCTGAGCTCATGGGAACAGATTTTTCTTTAAGATTGAAGGATCTAAGAACGCAGGCTGGTGTGTGGTGGGACATCCTCACAGCCTCCAAGCAACTTAAACACCTACCATTTATGAAGATCAGATAATAACTAGTCACATAAACTATGAAGGTAATTCTTTTTTTAACTGCCATTTTCTTAGGCGTTGATAAAGCCTGTCAAAATCTCAATTAAAATGAATGCATGGGCCAGGAACTCTCAAGTCAGGAAAGCTGAGTTTGGTAGATTGGACTGAGGCTGAGCCGTTACCAGGGTCTTCTCCAGTCCCACAGTGTGGGAGAAAAAGGAGAGGACATATTTGCAGAAGCATCTTTATTTTCAAGCTGTCAATGATCCTGACATGTTGGTGCCAAGAGGTCCCAGGATGGAGCTGCAACTCAACCAATTAACTACTCTTTGAAGGAACTGAAGAGGAAAATTTCCATTAGTTCTAATCAACTCATTTCTGCAGCTTAAACTAATAACCAGCTCTAGCCCTTCACTTCTCTATCTTGAGACTATTTCTTTGGATTACACTCGGGCCATTTATGATCAATTGAGATATCTATATACACCTAACGTTGAGTATCTGCTGGCTGTTTACACAACAGCATGTCTGGTTTGTACCTTTCTTGTCTGTAGAGTCCATTACTTTATTCGATAGAACACTGTGGGCCTCTGAAAAACATAATTTTGGCCACGGTGCTGTAAATCAAAAACAAAAACCATTTTAGCTGAGATTCGTTTCTACTGAATAAATTAACTGACAAGATCCTTCTCTGACCGAATCCATATAACAACACTGTTGTGCTAATTATGTAGGGAATAAGTGATAAGAAAGCTAATTACAAGCACAGAAATACCTCTCTAAGTTCAGAAAATATCGTAATGAATGCCAAGGCACAGCAGAGCCACTGGAGTTTGGCCTCTGTTAAGTTTATCATTACTATTTTACAAGATTGTTTTCTTTGATTTTAAACTTATGTTCTGGGTTGTGAGCACAGCTCATGGGGCTGTAATGGTAATAACTATTCCTCATGGAAACCTTCCATTTAATCGAATCAAGAACCTTGAAAATGAGCCAGGACTTTTCTATAAGATGTGAGGCAGCCTCTAAGGATCTGGTATGAGAGATAATACGCTATTAATATTTGTAGTTTTTTAGTTCAATTCCTATAGAACTCTACAGGGTTAAATATATTATATTTGATGAGTCTTTTCCATAAGGAATAAAACATTGATTATTTGATTATGTTAGAAATACCATCTTAAAATACTTGAATGCCATCTCCTATAAATTATTAAACAATTCTACATATGTGAAAAAATGATATGATGATTCGATATTTCCATATTGCATTAATTCCACTGACACAATTTCTAGAACTTTGTTCTTTTCAGATGATAATTATTGCTCTGGGACAGAAAACTAAATACTCAGCAAAACAAGAGAAGAGGACACTACCAGTTTTGTGTCTAGAAGAGGTCCCTTTAGGAAAAATACGATGTGCAGAAGCAGAGCTGAATGAATGACTTGGGTTGTCATTGCCATTTCCGTATTGATTTTATCACCACCTATCACTTCCCTATCCATCATAGATACTTACATAGCCAGTACCACCATAGCTTATTACTTTTCCACATTATTTTGTGAATTTATCCTCACAATGCTTCTGTGAAAGACAGAAATAAAGTACCATCGTTTTACAGTTTGGGATGTAAAGTACCATAACCTAGCTAAGGCAAAAATGCAAGTACAAATCTTCTACATTTGCCTTCCTGATGTGTAGGAAGTCTTGATGGGGCTCTGAGCTACCTGATCTAGTAACATTGTCCCTGCTCACTGCAGGGGGTTGGACTAAGTGATCTTTAAAGGTTCCTTCCAACCCAATACATTCTGTGATTCTATGATTCTATGATTCACTAAAAACTGATTCAATAACCCTCCCTTTCCAGATCAAAAATTCTGTTTAAGTTAAATAACTCCCAGGAGATATCTCCTTATAATAAAGCTAGTGAAAGACAATTAGTTTCCAGAAACCCAGACTCATCTCTTTGTCATGAGAACGACTCATTTCATTCCCTGGGCATGGACCCATAAAGATAAGACTGTCATTCCAGAAATATTAGCACCTGTGGAAAGAAAAGCACCACTGAGTTTTAGTAAAGTGTCTACTGCAGAGGGGGAAAGAAAAAAGCACAGTAAAATGTGCTGAGGGATGCCAGACTGAGTCAGTCACAACCGTCTTCATGCAAACCCATCTGGTTTCAAGGCATGTGTGTCCTGCAAAGTGAAACATTTGTGTTGGATGGTAAACAAGGCATGGGCAACTGCTTGAATAACTCTTGTCAAACTCAGTCTTCGTGTTCATTTCAGATAGCCAGTTACTGGGGCTCCCAAACATCGCCCTTTCAGCATGCCAGGTGGATCTGCTGCGGGTGCCCTGCTCGGAAAGCAGCTGTGCAGCAGCTGCGCTGACAGTGACAGCCGTGACAGACTTTGCTCAGGATGGGGACCGCATCAGCCGCATCAGAGCCGAGCCAGTCGGACGGAGGGATTTGCTCTGGAGGGCTTACACGCCAAAGGATGTGAAGGTTGGGTCCTAAAATAATTTGGAAAATTTGTGTCAAGTTTAAACAGGAGGTTTAGTATTGCAGAAAACAATGACAAATCTTAACCGTATAAACATTTGGGGACTGCTGTCAGTAGAGTAAACTAAAACAACCTCTTTATATGCAAAAAAAAAATATATAATGTAAAGCTTTTTGCTTCAACAAATTTAGGTTTGACTACTAGTCAGCACATCAACAAAGTCAACAGCTGGATTATAGATGTAACCAGGCATACACGTGTATGCTGGAAGAGGAGTGAGGGGGAACCCGGGTTAGGGAATTGGCATCCTTTTGAGGAGGAAGAGGGAAAACCAAGGGTTTGGAGAACAGTTTCTGAAAAAGCAGAGAAAAAACATTGCCTCAGTAATGAGAAAGGAGAACCAGGACTCAGCAGTGCTGTGTTCAATCTGTGACTCTGCCAGCACTCACCAGGACACCTCTGATGACACACGCAGCTTCTCCATCTCTTCATTTATCCCTGTACAAAACGTCCAAAATAAAAATAATAAAAATCAATCAGGGAGGCAAGCCATGCTTTTCCTGTGGAAAGCCTGGCCAAAGGAGCACGGTGAGTAGCGACCAGCCCATTCTCTGTGAAGTTGTGTCAGGGCCTTGGCTGGGAGATTTGGAAGCTGTAATCCCACCACCGAAGAGAAAAGAGAGAGAATAAACTGGAGAGAGAGAATAAACCAAAGTACAGATATGATTCAGCTAAATTTCTCAGAACAGTGGCACATCCAAACTCATATTTTAAGTAACTGAAAAATACCTCTCAATGAAATCTGTAATTTCAGTGTTCTATTTTTTGTGGATTTGCTCATGAGAGAATGAGATCAAACTGGACGAAAATAATTTTTCTCTTCAAAGGTAAACTGCCTACTATGGGATTATATCCTTTTCTCACCAGCACATGCTTCTTTTAAACTTTTAAAGATTCTTAAATCATAAATTGCAGTTAATTCAGTGTAGTGCTTTCACATACCCATAATTTTTTCTTGAAGTTACAAATGTTTCCATTAAAATACAAAAATGTAGCAAGTGTGAAATGGAATTAATCCATTTTAATAATAAATTCCATCCATCTCTGTTAAAACTTGATCTATGGAAACATAATAGACATTACCTGCCCTCCCTCCCATTTCCCCATTGTTGCTTTGCAGTTAATTAGAGGTGATAATATAACACAGTTCCTGCAACATATCAAGAAAGAATCCATATAATAAAATCCACATAATCTTTAGTCCTTCAGACTTGTTCAAATATTTTTTATTTATCTGAAAATTGAATAGAAATGGTGGGCAGAATGTCTTGACACATTCAGGCACCTGGTAAAGTGGATTTCTTCAGCAAACTCAGACTGCCTATGAGTTGGACTTGCATCCTCTGCTGGCATAATGAAGAAAAGAGGAGAGCAGAAAGGCCCACAAGGATTTGCTTGTGCAAACAAAGGTTTTACTTAGGAAAGTTGTGGCGAAAATGGAGAAAATGGGAAAATTCTGAGACATTTCTTTATATCACACTGTAGATACAAATGGTACAATTGACTTCAGATCAAAATACTGTTCAAACAAGTGTTCAGTTTTTTCATTCTTCAGGACTATCACTCTAACATTTTGGGATGCCAGACACCAGTGGGTGTCTGAGCAGCATCTCCATGTGATGGTTAAGGGGTATTTTGAAATACAGGTGATGTATTGCCACAGGTGAGGGATTTTGTCAGAGTGTGGTTCTATCTTCACCCTGTTACTCATTTATTTAATTTCACCAATGTTCCTAAAAGCTAAATTCTGCTTTGTCACTGAAAGACTGCACAAGGATATAGTGGCCATTCTTCTTCCCTCCTCCGCAGATCATGGCAGAACTAAATGCATTGCATCTCTGGATTTCTCATGGGCAAAGAGCAAGCAAAGAATTAACAGCCTTGGCCAAGAAATCGGACTGGCAGGCTGGATATGGGAAAACTGTAATACTTCATCACTCCCACCAGTGTGACTGGGACCTCTTCATAGTGCAAATCACAACACAACCCAGTCTTGCATTTCTGCGAAATGGATAGCAGAGTATGAAAAAACACCCTCCTGAGCAGATGTGACAATGCAGGCTCAGCGCTGCCTGAGATTCAGGTATTGCAACTTCAAAGGGACTTGTCCTACCTTTAGCTTTCATAGGCACATCTACTCCTTGCAGGGCACCAGGACTTTCAGACTTCATCTGTGACCCAACTTGTGCCCAAGTAATCAAGAGCTGAAGCAGCTGAAGATCTCAGTTTCAGAATCACAGAATTATTAAGGTTGGAAGAGACCTCTAAGATCATCAAGTCCAATCATCAACCTAACACTGCCATGCCCACTAAACCATGTCCTGAAGTGCCCCATTCACATGCTACAGTAGATCCTTCCTTCTCTTACTCACATGCCAAAAGCAGACAGCTCCAGCTGTTAACAGCAACCCTGTTACTGATAGCACACAAATACTTCTAGATGCTTCTAAATCAGCTCCAGATGATTTGAGGCCTTGTCACCAGTAACTGATCAATAACCTGCACATCAAATATATAAATCAACATTTCATATGCTGTACCAGGAAATTTAAGGTCAAATTGAGGGACAGGCAGTGACTACAACTAAAATATGCTAATGCTACTTAATTATAGCATACCTTACACCATACTTCAGGCATTAAAATTAGTACAATTTAATGAGCACTCTACTCTCTTGATAATTTCAGTGAATGATCTACTTCTTTGCAAAAAAAGTTTAATAAAACAGCTTCAATTTTTACCAGATAAAGAAAGGCAGTGCATTACATCAGGTGGAATAGGAGCACTTTGAACTCCCTTATTGCATGTGATCAAACTCCGTTGTTTGAAAGCGAAGGCTATTTTGTACCCATTCACGATCATGTTTTAGAAGCAAGATTTTAGTTTGTACTTGACACATGAATCCTGCCCCTAATGTTTTGTGAGGAACAGTAATGAAGAAAAACTGCTGTGTAGACTGTATTCATTACACATTTCATTTTAACTAGGTCACAGTTCGAGACCTCCCAACAGGGAACTGCTACTCTTTCACTGATCCACACATTATCACATTTGATGGATGGTGAGTACTCTACTTTGAAATAATTTGGCTCAATTACTGCAGTTTTCAGTTTCTGGATGTAGCATCCATTTGGTTTTACATTAGAATATCAAAAGAGCATTGTACTAGTTTGCTTATAGTGATTAATGTAGTGTTTCAATAACATATGGTTTCCTTCCAGCTGTTTATGCCCCTTTTAACTAAAGAACTAGAAGGGGATTAATCTTGAAGCAGTAATGCTTTTGAGTCTGAATAATTTTTACAAGACAAAGGTCAGATTCCAAAATATTCCTCAAACAGAACTGGCATTATTGACTTTGAGAGGGTGTCTACACCGCATGGCATCACATTAACGACACCCCAAGTGGGCCATTACATCCTCATAGCAGCATGGCACATGAGGACAGTCTATGTCCTTCCTGGCACTTTGATGCACCTGATGTAAAGTCATTCAGCCTAAGGATGTTCCTGCATTCAACACTTCCAGAGCAGGTTTAAGTACAGCTGCATCTCTGCATGGAGATGACAGTCATCCTCACAAGCAAAAAACCATAAAGATGGCCATACGGTCTCAGGTAAAAGAAATTCAGAAATGATAAGTGGCATGGAGAAATAAAGTTGTACATCCTCCTGTATTGTCTAGATGTCTTCCTATATTAACCAGTGATAAGTATTTTAAAGACTTACTGAACTAAAGGTGGTATCTTTGTGTCTGACAACTTGCATTGTACATAACCTTTCTTCAGTTAACTTCCCTAATCACTCATGAATCTATTTACCCCATCTATTTAACATAAGGGAAAGTTTTTAAAGTTTGCATCTGGCACATTTGATCCAAAGTTGCTAATATTTCAGATCACATTCCAGGTTTGTCATTCTGCCGTTAACCTCCTAATGGCACAATTAATGACTTTAGGCACACAAAGTCCACAGGGACTCGGCAGGCATGATATTCTAATTTTGATATCCTAATATCCCAATTTCAGTACAGCATGCTTTGGAGGTAAATGACATCAAAGCTGGAGAAATCTGTTTATGAAATGAGAGGAAGAAAAGCAGTAGCTCCACTGAAGGTTATATTTTTGCCTCAAATAAAGATTTCACCTAAACTTGGTAATCTCAGCTAGGAGATTTGCTCTATACATCTAGCCCTTTCCAGTTTCCCTCCTGCTTTGCTAATTATCATTTATAATGCGGTCAGGCACTTGTTTCATGCAAGTTTCGTTGCTTGACATGTAGAAGATGTGGAAGAGCTAAGAGAGGTGCAAAGACATTCCCATGCCCCATGGTATCTGCAATTATTCCAACTCTGGGATATTAAAGTAGATTAGAATGTTATTTCAAAACTCTCTATTTCTATTCTAAAATATTCCCCTCTTATTTAGGGCTAAGAATGTACAGTGACCTGCCAGGTTGTTGTGTTTAGGATGCCATTAATTACTGAAAGTGCTCTCCACCACGTGACACTTTTTTACATTGCTTCCATGAGAAAAAAGTTCTAAAATTAAATAAAGCAATTTCTTTTGAGTAACTCATTTTGCAACCCTGTTACTGATAGCACACAAATGCTTCTAAGCAATTTATGATTCTATCTGAGCACAGTGAGTTTGGAAAAGCCCATCCTTCTGTGGCACCCTGCCTCAGAGTCACACAGTGCTGAAATGAAAACATCCCAGGAATGGCTTGGCCCCTCGATACTGCACGTTTCTTCCTTGCGGACCGACATTCATTACTGCTCTGTCCAGTGCAGCTTTAAATAAGCCAAGCTGATGGGGCTTCTGCCATCTCAATAACTAGGTTATTTCACTAAGATATATCACTCCTTGATATTCAGCCAGATTTCTTACCCATCATTTCACAGTCCCATTACTCCTACTTATATTCCCATTTATTACTGTAAATAATTTCTCTTTCAATTATTGTAATGATTATGTCATCCTATTACACATCAGTTAAACAACTTTTCTGCCTGCCTTTCCAAAAAAATGTTAACACATTAACAAATTATTTTAAAGCTCAGTATTTAAGGAGTGGGGAATGCAATTCCTGCTTTTGTCCTGATACAAACCTATAACCTACAGGCAAAAGCTGACACAAAGGTATGGGACTGAAACACTCCCCTTTGGTCATGAAAGGGTATAAGGTGGGAAATCATGTTTGAAATGAGGTATGTGTGTCAGGTATTGTGAATCGAAGAATCGTACAAAAAACTTGTGGGCTCGAGTAAGAACCCATATGAGTGTCCTCCAATAATAAAAAAATATCAAAAGAAGACCAAGCTGCAGGTCATAAACAGCAAAGCAAGAGAAGATAAAGCTGAGAGGATGAGTGCAGTATCAGCTTTTGGGCCTCTGGAGCTACATCAACTATAAGTGATCTGTAGACACAGGCCCAGGTAAAAACATTACACAGGAAAGAAAAGAAGCATTAGTCAAAATTAGTCAAAGAAAACTGAAGGAAATAGCAGCCTTTAGTCACCTTTATATGGCTACAAAGATGGCAGCAAACAAAGTCTGATAAACTATCAGAACTGCTTCTGCAGCCACCAGCAGAGCATCCATCAAACAATATGACCTAAGGAAACTCATTTGTTCCACCATGAAGCCTGTGGGTCAGCTTACCAGGAAACAGCAGACTCTAAGGTCAAAACGCTGTAGACAGAGCTGCCATGGATGGGTGGTGATTTGCTGACTCTTTGGCATCATTTCCACTTCCTCGAGTCCTGGGGATGGCTCACTGAAGGACTGACACATGAAAAGCGAGGGGAAGTCTGAAGATGGGGAATATTGCCAACAGCACAGCAGTAGGAGTGTTTTCTATGCAAATGGACACGCACATAAACATACTCCTGCCTTTCACAGATTTGATGACTTTTTTTAAATTTCCCATTAGCAATGGTGAATGGAAGGAAAAATGCACAGCAGAGAAGAGCAAAGATGAAGACAGACATGAAAACAGAAAACAGCAACCTTATTTGGTTTCCAAAATTTAAAAGAAACATATTAAAAGTTTAAAATTTAACTTAATTTAAAAATAGCTATTATAATAATTGTTTTAGCAGATTTGTTGGAAAATTGAGAAATGGCATGAAAATCAAAAGGCTGGATTTTTGTTTTAGTAAAATTTTCCTACTGAAAAGGTCACTTACAATGCATAGGTTGTTTCATGACATTTCACAATACTACTTCATTTTGTAACTTCTATAGTGATGTTTTCAATTCTTTTTAGTCTGACATACTGAGTTCACATTACATCTGAGGTGTTAGTTGTTCGTTAGATAACTAAGATACCTAACTTCCATTTCTAATGATAACACTCCCCTTTGGTATGCCTCTCGCTAATATATTTCTGTAGAAATATATATCTTGTAATCTTTTTATTCTTTTGACCAAGGGAAGTGACTGAAAATCAAAGAAGAATGTGTCTTATTTTACAGTGTAAGCACAATCAATTTGTGTATATTGGAGCATAGATGTGAAATAGCATTAATTATACTAGCTAAAATCCAGAGAGAGCACTTCCTTTTATAGCAAAGTACCTTCTAAATTAAACAAAAGTGAAAGCCTGGTAAAGCAGAAGTATAGCCCTCATTACTAGTTATGGCGCATTATAAATATAAAAGCTTTTCGTGTCATAAATTGTAGATTCTTAAATATGAAGTACTAGTTTAAAACTAAATATGCAGAAAATCCTTTTAAGGCAAAATAGAAAAAGGAAAATATTTCTGGACGGGTGAACTATATACCTCATTCATGTTATTTTGAATTTTACCTTTAAGAAAAAAAAAAAGAAAAAGATATTTCAGATATCTCAAACATTTACGCTTATCCACCCATCAATATTATCACAGGAGCAATGGCATCGTTTATTGCACAATGACAAAACCCCTCAGCTTGCACAGCTCCATGCTTGCCATTGGTTCTAATGCCATTCAGCATAGTAGCCCAAAACTAAGTCTTGGGCCTAAGTAGCCCTCCCAGAGGTGCTGGGGTTTTTTGATAGTCTGTAGAAGTTTACATGTCCCCAAGCTTCCAATGACTGATGAACACAGCCCAACAGCTTAATTCCCTGAGAACAACATGGTCAATTCCTAGTGGTGAGTGCTCTGAAACCAGAGGACACTCTCCAGCATCACTCAACACTTTCTAGGGTCACAACTGGCACAAAACAGTTCTTACAAGCAAGGAAAGAGGAAGCCCAGAGTGACATGTCCACAAATCAAATAACTTGGTGGCAAAACCATGGTGGAAAATATTTAAGAGTGGCTACAATAGTTCCTAAATTAAAAAAAGATGAGACATGACACCTTGAGCCATGACTTCATGTTGGGACAGGAGCTTGATGCACTCCTTAAAAAAACAACTCAAACACTTGGATGGGGAGGGAGTGAACTACTTTCCACCCAGCACACCCATTGCTACTGGCTTTTAGGGCAGCAGGATGGGGAAGTGCAGTGTGAAGGACAATTTAGGCACAAGCATTGGCCCCTGGTTCACAAAGGATACATGGCCCTCCCTCGTGCAAGAGCTCCACTAACTTTACTTCATGTTTGAAGCACCACAAGCCTGCAATTTGTTTTCTCAAATATTGTCCAAAGGATCGTTATCATAATTACGGTTGTATAAACATCACAAAAGTTTACCTGGCTACATTCAATTATCCATTCAAGTAATTCAAAGGCAGCTTAAAGCTTCAATTTAGACACGTTGCAGATTGGGTTTGTGCTATGCAATCTATGCCGTGACTTAATTGAAGGACTCTCAGTGACTTCCAGGAGAGTTGGATTGGGTCCACTGTCAATGCTTATGAAGCAGTAAATAGATCCCATAACTGCAATGATATTTATATGCGTATGCTAATACAGTCTTATTAACCAGGTACAGCTGATTAATCTGGGTACAGCCATTCTGATGCTTTATTTTCCACCAAACTCTCTAAATACTTTTGCTTCTTAAGCCGCACCCCATTGAAGGAAACTGTGGAAGGTGATTCTCGTAAAATATCCTGTCTCCTCTGTCTCTCCTGTGAGGATGTCCAAATGGAGTTAGCATTTGATGTTAAAAGAGATTATCTATTTTTTATGTTGTCCTTAGCTCTAATCAATCTTAGCAACAGCATCTGCGTAGTGTGCTTAGGATTTATGTACCTGATTAGAAAATAAGATGAGACAGAGCCATTCAAAATCTTATCGTTTTATGGCCAACTTCACTAAGTTTTTCAAGATGAAAGATAAAGTCAGATGTGTTTTCTAGCAGAGAAAAGCAGTTGGAGTTTAATTTCTTACTGTGCTTTAAGTTTCATACTTTCCTATTGCTTTTATTCTGAAGAAAAATAAAATGCAGATATATGCATGTTAGAAATTCTTTGTTGCTTAGCCATTTGTTCCTCTGTATAGGAAACATGAACAGACTGAAAAAATACTAATGTTTGTACGACAGTGTTTAAAAATAATCCTGTTATTTAGTCGAGGTATTTTAGACGCTCCTTTTTACATTTCATTTTTTTATTGTGGAAAAGAATAATGCTTATTATTATAAGCTTATAGCTTAGTTTCCATATCACTTAATTTCGTAAAAATCATGTTTAAAACTAAATGTAGTGCCTTAAAAAGAAGTAGAATAATCCATTGCCTTTAAAGATGGCAGCTGTTGGCTAGTAAGGAAAAAACTCCAGCAACATATATAAAGTATACAGCTACTTTACTTTTATACATCGCATTAGAATAAAATAGAGTGAGATTAAGCTTATGGAGAAACAAAGACCAAGCAGAGGAAGTCTCTGTTTTATCTGGGTGAATCAAAGTCCCAAATTCTTCCACACACTGCTGATCGCCAGGCCATTTGGAGAGAAAGTTGTGCTTACGGGGAAGGTGTTGGGGGCAGGGAGAACAACTTCATTTTAACAGGTTTTTCATCAGAATCCCAGGTTTTTTCACATGAAATATTCACCTAACCGCAGTCAGTCTTGTAAAAGTTAGTGATTAGTCACAGAAAGAGGCTGTTTGAGCACTGATTTTGCTTTGAAGAATATCATGCTGTAAAGCATCTGGTTAGAACCAAAACATATTTCTTAAGGCCTGGAGGCAGGGACTTTTTCCCATTTGCTTTTTATCGAATGTTTATCCTTTTTACCCATGCCTGTTGCCATAGCAGCAGCTGGGAGCCAGCTACCCACTTCTCGCATGAATGCTTATGCACTTACAGCTAATAACCATGATGACAGTCCCTTGCTCACGATGTTAGAGAAGCGCATCCCCACGTGTTGATTTTTCCCTCCTTCAAGGCCAGCCACCACGCAGGCCTGATTACAGAGTGCCGTTGTGCGAGTATGCTCTGGGTCTCTAAAGCCTCTTTTTGTTTGTTTGTTTGTTTGTTGCGGTTTAGGCGTTACGATAACTATAAAATTGGCACCTTTGTGTTGTGCCAGAGCACGTCGAGGGCATTTGAAGTGCACGTTCGGCAGTGGGACTGCGGGGGCCACCGCTCCGCCACCGCCTGCAATTGTGGCGTAGCTGCACGTGAGGGGGGTGACACTGTGGTCCTGGACACCTGCAATGGCCATTTTCGGGAGAGCAGACCCCAGCTGGCCATTAGAAGCACTGAGGCATCGCCACATGTCAAAATCCTGAAGTCCTATGGAGGAAGAAAAATAACAGTATGTGGATATTTAAGTACTCTTGGGGTTGCTGTTCTCTAAAAAAAAATAAATAAAATAAATAAATGAGTTTAATATTTCTGAATTATTAATGAAGTTCCTACAAAAATATCTATCTGAAGCCGTAAGAGTGCCTGCAGCAAAATGTACCGAAAAACGAGATGCAGGGAGGAAGGTGCTTAAAGTGTTAGTTTAACAAACTGTAAAACAAAACCAAACAAATATCTCTGGAAATTTCTTGGAGACATAGCAGAGTGCCAACTTTGTTACTTATTCTCTGCAGTATGGCAATTTTCTCTCAGTTTGTTTATGCTAGGCACTACCCAACTGCATCACATAAAGTAAATTTCTTTGCAAAGCTTGCAATATAAATATTCAGGGAAAGATCACAGGTAGCAGGATAATGTAGTTTTAGAGTGGAACAGTAAGGCATTATTAGCCAGATCCAGATAGCCCCCAAAAGCCATGAAAATGGGCTGCAAATGTGCAACACTCCATCTAATATAAAGTATTTGCCTAAAAATATATATGACCACAACATACTTTGCATGAGCATAACTTATCTACATTAATCCAGTGAAATCACAGAAGAATAAGAGCAAACTTTGGTGAGGAGAAGAGCCACAAATCACGACCAAGAAGATAATTTTATCCTAGGGTTGTGTCATGAAGATATATTGCCAGGTTACCTGTTTAGGGTGAAGATAGGCCCACAGTAGAGGCAAAAGGATGGAGGGAGTGCCTGCGCTTGGCTCTCCTCATGATCTCACTTGGAACAGATTTTGTAAGGTAGTAATTGAAAGTCTGTTAATTATAGAATAGAGAAAAAGCAGGAAGCAAGCTGTCATTTCATTTTGCTACTGAATGCAATATAATTACTCTTTTATTACCAGAATAATCTTAGCAAGGAATCCCTATTCTCATTTACACCTCGTTTAAATCTCAGTGAAACAAATTAGGACAGCACTGGGACACGTATATGACTCCTGCCCTGATCTGAACAGGATTCTGTAGGAATTGTATAGCAAGGAATATGGTCCCTGATCACGGCACTGTGCACAATGTATCCTAATTTACTCAGCAGTTGCCCATTTCCAACCTTGCGCAGGAGTTGAATACTCCATGGCTCCCACACCATTAAAGGCTGATGCTTTGAATGGGGTTAAGTCACCCTCTGTTCTGTGCAAGGCAGCATCTCCCATCAGCCAGTCACGATATATCTCTGCATATTGAGGTCCCAAAAAAACTCCTAAATCCAGGTGGGTGACAGAAAACCTGGGCAGTTGTTAGGTCCTCAGTGGCAGATGGGACACGTCACCTGGGACAGCAGAAAAGTGGGTTACAGCTCTTCAAATTCCCAAGATAAATCCACACCTGGGAATATTAATCCAGGCAGCACAGAAGACTGAAGAAGCTCACACAGTTCTGAATGCAAAGATTTTATTCTCAGCCTTGTAGGAAATGCTCCTTTCCAGTGCATGTAATTAGAGGGCACTTGTTTATCTGAAGATGAAAATCAAAACCTACCCAGCACTGTGTCAGCTGCAGTTGTCCTGCTCTACCTATTAAACTAAAAATTAGCTCATCAGGCCATTTCAGCCTTGTGTTGGAAAATCTTTGGTTTTCTTTTTAAATTTACCTTGGGAAGTGAGACATGGAGCCAATGCAGAGGTACAGCTACAGTGGAGGTTCAGCCAAGACCAAGATTCATTTGAAGAGATGGTTTTATATGATGACTTCCATTATTCACCAAGGCCAATATGGTTTTTTTTTGAAGGATGCTTTAAGCGCCCTGATGAAAACACAGAGGGCCCGAGTTCAAAACATAGTGTCCCCATCTGTTATTGCAGTCAGTGGCACTTTGATGCTCTGCTCAGCTAGACAAGGAGATTGCTCACAGAGAGCTCCTCAAAAAGTACTCTCATGCCTGAAATGATGGCTGGGAAGATAAAATGGACAAGATTATTGTTTAGTGCAGCCAAAATGTATACTCTGGATTCCAGCACAGAAATACAGATATGAGCTAGTTGCTTCTTCACAGATATGAAGATATTTGGTAGGGAGGAACTTACAAGGGACCAAACAATCCTCACAGAAAGAAAGAAAAGCAATGGACATTATTTGGCTGAATAAATTATACTTAGGCAGGGGTCACTTTAAAAAAAGGAAAACAGTTATTTTGAAATTACTGTAATGAGATTGGCCTGTATTAAAAACAGTGTGACCAGCAGGTCCAGGGAGGTGATCATCCCCCTGTACTCGGCACTGGTGAGGCCGTACCTCGAGTGCTGTGTTCAGTTCTGGGCCCCTCACTCTAAGAAGGATGTTGAGATTCTGGAGCGTGTTCAGAGAAGAGCCACAAGGATGGTGAGGGGTCTGGAGAACAAGCCTGATGAGAGGCAGCTGAGGGAACTGGGGTTGTTTAGCCTGGAGAAGAGAAGGCTGAGGGGAGACCTCATCACCACCTACAACTGCCTCAAGGGAGGTTGTAGAGAGGTGGGTGCTGGTCTCTTCTCCCAGGTGATGGGGGATAGAACAAGGGGAAACGGCACCAAGCTGTGCCAAGGGAGGTTCAGGTTAGAGATAAGGAGGAAGTTCTTTACTGAGAGGGTTGTCAGAGGCTGGAACAGGCTGCCCAGGGAGGTGGTGGAGTCACCATCCCTGGATGTATTTAAAGAGCGGGTAGACGAGGTACTTAGGGATATGGTTTAGGGGGTAGACAGGAGCGGTTGGACATGATGATCTTGGAGGTCTTTTCCAACCGAGCGATTCTGTGATTCTGTGAGATGTTTCCAACTTTAATGTAGTTTTTAATAATAACTGAAAACATTTAATTTTAGATTAAAAAAATATGAAGGTTACTTATCAGAAGAGCATGCTACTGCTTCCACACCTGGCACAAACCAGGTTCAAAATTATTTTCTTTTTACCTGTAAAAATAAAGCAAACAAAGATACGTTGCAGTTGAATAGATTTTTTTTTCCTTTTTTTGTTGTTTATTATTTGGTTGGGACACCAATCTGAAAAATCCATTATCCACACAGTTACTTCTTTGTCTTAACCTCAAGATTTTTTTTCCTTGTAAAGGTCAGTGTAAGCCTACCACAAGTTCTTTAATGAGAAAATTGCTTTATCCACTTTAAAACACAATCATTTTCTGGGTAATCTGGCCTTGGAAAATGAAACGATTTTTCAGAGGGAAGAAAGCTGTTTTTCAGACATGGCAGTTTATCTAAAAGAAATTATTTCCCAGGCAAAGATACAACCGTGGCCTTATTGTCATGGAAGTAGCTTCAAAAATTAGCTGGTAACTTACCAGTGGGAAAGCTTCAATGGATGTAACAATATAAAAAGAATGTACATGTGCAGTTTTATCTCTGTGTAATGCTATCAAATATTAGTACCATACAATGTGAAAGCAAGCTAAATAGTAGCATGAAGAAATATTTATAGTGTATCTAAATAATCTTAAATTACTTCCGCCATCACCAATATCCTACTTTGATATTTTTCTTTATAGAAAGGGTCACTGTTTATTGAATAAAAAGCATGGTAACAGTTTCAATTCACTGTATTATTCCTGCATTTCCAGATCCTGTTCCCTTCAGGAGCATTTGTTCGGGCCGACATAAGCGAGTGGGGAATGGGTTTGACAGTGAGGACACCAGGCAGTGACTTCAACAGCACCAGGGGTTTGTGTGGCCTCTTTGATGGGATCGCACACAACGACCTGAGCAATCTGCCCGAGGAAGACTTCATAGAGGAGTGGAGGTACAAAGCAGAGAGAATCCCAGATCGGGAGATGCTCTGCAGCATTGTTTCAAGGGGTGTTGATAGGTTTAATTCATTACATACTCTTCTCATGACCTGACAAAGAGATCTGCTTAATCTCATGAGGGAAGCCCAGAGACCCATTACCATACATGTAAGCTGTTACTGAGAGAGAAGCTTTATATTCGCAAGTGATGTCATGTTAACAGCTGTGTTAAGATGGCACTCAGCTGTTAAAAAAACAACAGTTCTCACCCACACTAGAAAACGCAGATAACTGACAATAGGGATTAATTAAGGGTTTGGTAATTCCCTTGTTCTTTTATTCCTGAACACTAATTACAATATGTGAGTATAGATTAAATGTTATATTTTGACAAAGTGTGGTAATATATGTACCATGCTAAAATTTAATATCTACTAATGATGACAGTGAGCTCTGAAAACTTACACTTTCTGAGATGGGTGCTCTGGAACCAAAGGCAGGAGTCTGGCATATCCTTGTCCTTCTCTCTCCCTATCCCTATCCCACATTTTAATTCCTGTTGCTGAACTCTAAATATGCCTAATAGGGGTTCCTAAAACCAAAATGGGTTTGGTTGACTGTGTAATTTTGTTTGTGAAGTATGTTTTGCAAATAAGGAAAAATAAGGTGAACCACTTTAACACACTACTTACTCTGCACATGGGAACTTAGCGCAATCCTATAGGAACGGAACAGTAAATTTTAGACCTATTGCATTTAAGAAAATAAAAAATCACATCTACCATATTCTAGTTATATTCAGTGGGCCTAAGTAATGACTATTTAATAGCAATTTTTACCTGTCACTACAATTTGTACTATTTGGAAGTCAACAACCACCTTTAACATCCTAATAGTGTAATAATTAGGGCTTGCTTCTGGAAAGGCAAATGGAGAAAAAGTTTGGTGCAAGAACCAATCAGCTGCTGACTATACAAAAAGGGGCTAGAAAGATCCTTAGGAGGATCTGTTCAAAGCAAACTTGTTGAAAGATCAGACACCAAAGCACAATATCTAGGAATTTACTTGCAAAACAGTGAGGAATTTTCTAGGGCTTGGAGGTATTTGGAGCACGACTGAGAAAGCAAGAGAATCTCGTGCTAAGTGAGACGGGCAAGAGAGTTGATGAGTTTCACCTTGCAGTACTCCCAGGGATGATATCCCAAGGACTCTTCAGAAGCTGGTTAAAAACCAACTAAGCCAATGGAAAGGCTAAGGCCACTTCCAGACGAGACGGGATTGGTGTCTGATCCGCCCACGGAGAAATGGTGCAGTAAAAAACAAAACCTGGAGGGTGATTTTCTGCTGCTGTTTTTAATTTTCATTTTAAATAACACTGAAAGCATGTTAGGTTTTCTCCAGCACCTGAAGCTAGTCTGAGCACTCACCATCTGGCAGTTCGG